ATTTTCCTTCATTTTTCTTGAATTTACTTGTAATGAAATTAATTTTCTTAAAAAGACTGTAGGAAAATTTTATCTGAATTCTGTAATTGTAGCAGAATTTTCATAAAGCAAAATTAACAGCAAAAAAATTTTACTTAAAGCTAACATTTGTTAACTACAATTTCTCGTAAAGAATTTTGTAGTAAAAGGCTGTCATATTGGAAATTGAAAGAGATGAAGAACTTTTAAACAGATATGCTTAACTAACGCAAAGGAACCATTAAGTTTTATTAATAAATATGAAAAAAAACTTGGCGAAATGATTGATTTTTTTCACCACGACGCTATGTTATCGAAACGAAATGAAATTTTTAATATTAACTCATCGTTAACATTAATTTTAAATTGGCTGTCTGCTATGATGTTAACACCACACTAACATTTCAACATTTAACATAATCTGTTAACGATCTAAACACTGAACTAGCGGGGGAAAACGAAATAAAATTGATAACTTTCTAAGCGATATCATTTCCAAATATTTCAATCGAGTTAATTGACATTTTTTGATTAATGTGAAATTTATCGGTACGAGGCAGCTTTGCTTTTAATGCCTGGTATTTGTTATGGAGAAGAGATTTTCCTCCAATGACCACTCCATGTAAGGAAGCGTCTAGGTCTGCTCTCGCCATATACAGACAGTTTATTAACCCTAGGAAATTAAATCATACATCAACAATCCTTCATTTCCTGGCTGTCTGCACGGTTTTGGTCGGTTCACTTCATATGTATGTACGTATGTCGATCATACTAAAAGTTTAAATTACAAAAGACGAAGCCTAATATCCCTTTGCATGTTTTTATTTACTCTATATGTACATACCTATGTACATAGTGTATTGTAAGTTCATTTCGAGGTACAATTTGTTTATTAGGATTTCATGTTGCATTGTGAGATGTTATCATTTGGATATGATTTGGATATGCGTGTGGTGCCCTACCGACGCCAAATTAAAAATCACTGTCGCGCACTTCCTATGCACTTTACATGCTTAATGTGTTTTGTGTGTTTTTTGTTTAATGCATTAATTTGCGCTTGGTCGTGTGGCCAATATTGCTTTCATCTATTTTTTAAAAAACCATTTTCAATTCATTGCTTTTGACATTTATTACAAGTCTGAAGCTCAAATACTCTTTCTATCGCTCAACAAGTATATATGAATTTACACATATACATACATACTGCATAATTTAATATCCAACCATACCAATTTGAGTTGTCTCCGTGATGCAGTTCGCACCAGACGCCAGTCTGACTGTCAATTTGCAAAATTTCCTGACGAAATGATTACATTTTCCGTTTCTATTGGTATGACAATTACGTAACGTTAAGTCAATGTATCCAGAAACTGAATCCAGCAAACGACACACTTTACAACTTTATGCCAATGAATGCCAAATGGAACGCACTGCTTTTTCATTTCCATGAGGTCATCATCTCATCCTCCCCTCCCAGTACGAGAGTCAGTCATGGCGTCACTCCATGCCGTCATCATGAAATGTTTGCAAAATTGTTTTTACGATTTTCCGCGTCGTCTAATTTACGAGCTCTACTTAGCCATGCGCATGCGTGGATTATATACCCGTTCGTAGTTCACTCGTAAAAGCCAACATTTTGTTGCTGATTTGGCGCCATGAAAGTCGCCAATTTGAAGATAATGTGAAAAGGAAAATTCAACAATTAAACACACATTCACACTTGCGTGCATACACGTATGTACATCAAGGCATAAATCAAGTGCTTCAATTTTGAAAATGTAATAAACCTGAAAACTATAATTATACATAAATTTTTTATCGTTTTATTACTGGTTCTACTGCTTGCGTGAAGTTTATAGGATTGCATAAAAGCTACAGTAAACACAGAAACAATGGTTTACAACACTCAAATTTAAAATGTTGGCATATGAAATGTTATTTTCCAGCACGAAATTTCTTAATGCGCTTACAAGCACATACATACATATAAGTATATGTATATGTATGTGTATGTGCTGTTTGTGTGAATGAATTTAAAAATTTGCATGCAAGCAAAATAACATTGTCATGACAGTTAATTATTTAATGACAATACTGTTTATTTGTCACTGAACCACTGTATTGTGATGCATCTACATGAATAAAAAAATAAAAAAAAAATAAAAAAATATCTTCAAAAAATTGTTTGACAAGTAAAAAAAAAAGTCTCATTTTTGTTGGTTTCATTAATACGCAGCCATGGATGGGGGTATAACGCACTTTCCCAATCTTAGATAATTTAAGTAAATTTTGGGTGTTGGGAATACTCAATAATTCCGAATTTGAAAATCCAAACAAAAAACAATCCTACGCAATTTTTAAAAATCAAAATATAATAAAATCTCGCCAAGACAATTTTTTTGACAAAATTTTAACAACCCTTAGCCTCGAATAGGATACATTTCTCTTCAGTTCAACGATTCCAACATAAATAAAATTTATTACATTATACAATTAAAAGTAGCCATACAACTATATAACACAATAAATGACGCTTTTATAACTGGCCAAACTTCTCAAAAATGGAGAGGCCTATAGTTTATTCTAAGCCACCTCCGAACTACCCATGGATATTTGTGTCGAGCTTTTCTTTCAAATCAGAAAAAACACTGGATGGGCCAGAAATTTCCTGTCGAGCGGCGAACGCAATCAGAAAAATTATTTTCTGCAATTTTGAATGTTTAAAAAAATTAAAAAAAAAAAAACATATAAGTATAAAACACACTGAAGGGAAACTTAAAATGGAACAATTCAGTTTACATGAAATATATTATATATAAACACTGTACTAAAACTTCTGATTGTCTTTAACTTTTATCATGGTTGTCCAGAAAAATTAATGATTGTTTAAACAAATTTTTTTAATTCCAAAATTTTAATTTTTAAAACAGAAAAATTACTTCATTAATTTAATTTCGACAATATCTCCATATGTAATATAAAAATAATTAAGACACTTATTGAGAAAAAGATTAAAAATAATTAAAATCTCGAAAAAGATTAAAAATAATTAAAATAAAATCGAGATTTTAATTATTTTTAATCTTTTTTTCAATTTCAAGATTTTAATTATTTGTAATTTTTTTCTCAATTTTTTGTTGATATTTCTTGTCTGGATTGTGCTGTGTCTGGATTTTGTAGTTTGAGATTTAATGTGGTGGTATATCATTAATGTTTTGTGGAAGTTTATTGCAAATAACAACATCACACCTAGATGTGTACGTGCCACACTCTCTATAAGCTTTTCAGCATTGGTCTCTATCTTAACCTCGTACCTCATCACGGAAACGTGTTTGGTATACGTGAAATATTTACTCCATTTTTGGTTCTTGTTGCAGGTATATTTTGGCTTTAATATTTTTTTCGGTCATGCAATATACATATTTTCATTTAAGTACTGTGGTCTACTTAACGGTTTCAGCACGATTCTACACAGACTTACAGTGCGTGAAGGAGATTCACTTTACTTTTCGTCACAAACATTTTATACACACGAGGAGTTGTTTTGCGACGCAATGTCTTACATATTGGATTTTGTTTTGTTAAATTTGGATTTTTTCTGGTGCCTTTTTTAAAGTTGAACACCAATTTTCTCCAAGAGCTCACTTGATTTGTAACTTTTGTTACATTTATTTATATTGTAAAAAGTTCATTTAAGAAGGTTTTCAAACGGCGGAACGTACAAAGAGCCCAAAAGTTTAAGAAGTGCGTTGAGTATACGCAGTGCTGTTCGAAAGTTTATTTACAATAACTTATATCCGATATTTGGATCGTAAAAATCAGTGTCGATTTGATTTTCCCCATAAAACCAACTCAACTTATTGACCTCTTTTGTACAAGCTTGCGAGTAGAGTATTCATAAAAAAAATTGAATGAACCAAGTGAATGCAATTTTTTCCAAAATATGTAAGTTAATGTTGAAAATCTAAATAATTATTTATTCATAGTTTAGATTTATTTAATTGGCCTCTATATTCGAAAATTGCAACGGCCACAACTTGTGACCACAAACTCTTTCTCTTCCAGTCGGGTGATACGTTGGCCTTTTACTCCATATACATATGTATTTTCCCCAGATCTGCATCGCTTCTCAAACAAATCACAAAATAGTATAGTACTAGAGAAACTTTACAACAACATTTGGATTTTATATTTCGAAATTTCGTAACCTTAGTGTTGCAATCTGGCAGCTGACAACTTTATCGTAAAGATTGCCATTTTTGATGTCATAAATACTAACTACGTTTGGACAAACGACCAAAAAATATAATTAAATCGCGAATTTTTCAACTCGTTTATTTTTTGCATCTCTCGACGAGGATTAACTTAACAACAGTGCATAGAAGCACCAAAATGAAATTGTTAATGTTGAAACAAATTCTTCGTTAACATTAATTTTCAAATGGCTGCTTGATATGATTTAACAACACAGTTTAACAGTAACGACAGCCTGTCGTTACGATTAAAACCGAAATAAAATTTATATTGATGACTGCTTTAACGATAACATTTCCAAATGATTCAGCGGAAACGTTCAGAATTTTTTGTTTATCATGAAATTTATCGTTTAAGATCGTATCGCAAACAATAGTAAGAATCAATGCATCGAAACGATCATTTTCACGTTCATCAACGAATATCTATCGTTTTGGCTGAAACATTTGGAAATGATATCATTAAAGTAGTTATCAAACTAAATTTCATTTCGTTTTTGCTCGAAACGTTACTGTTAAATCATTAACAGACAAAGTTAAACGTCAAAGTTGAAGTGTTCTGTTTTAACGTTAAGGATTTCATTTCGTTTTGAAAACATGTTGCCGAAACGAGACGATTTCATTTCGTTTTTCTTGTTAGCGAAAGTAAATAAAATCATTGTGTTTTTTGAGCATTTTTTGTGAAAATTTATATGCATTCGAGTACATGTGAATATTGAATATACTCACCGGTTAAGAAATTGTGGATTTTGTTGTACGCAAAATTTGATGATTCGTCAACTGCAAAAGAAGAAAGAAAAAATATGTATTCATTTTATTTCTCACCAGTTGTCGAGAGACAGACGTAAAAAATAAAAATATAAACAATATATTAATATTTAATTATTTTTATCACAAAAAAAAAGTTAATTCAATTAAAATGTAACAAAGAAAATAAAAGTAACCGTTTAAAACTCATTCTTATATATAAATATAACTATATGTGTATACCTATGCATGCATACTTATTTCAATACTTAAAACCCTCTGCTGTCATTCAAAAAACAAGTTCATGTTGTTGACGTTATTGAGCAAATGCCGGTTTCTAATACAAACCGTAAACTTAGTGATGACGTGTTGTCGGCATATACTCATTGCTGGTATACTTGTATATACATACATACATACATACATAAATACATACATATGGGTATATAAATGATGTCATTATCAGTTAAATTGTATTTAAATAAGCTTAACTTTGAGATTTGTGGTGAGCCTGCTACTTGTTCGTGGGTCAAATAAATAAATAAATAAATAAAAATTTATTCATTAAAAAAAGTTCAGTTAAATAACAGTTTTGTATGTATTATGTAGAATTTTGTTGCCATGAATTGAATGCTGAATGGTGAAAAGTCAGTTTAATTGACTAAAGTCAGGGATGACATAAGCCATAACCATAAAACGTCAACGCACAGCGACATAAACAAACCGGCGAAGTGCAATACACACATACATATGTTTAAATGCCAATTTTTTTTATATTTACGAAAATTTACAAATGCCAATTAATGCTTGCAAAAAGAAATAAATGAAGAAGTAAAAGTGAAATAATATATATATATTTATATAAAATATACGTACATACGTCTGTTTGCAAATATATTTACATATATAGATATATGATATTTGTTTGGAAGCTGAACTGTTTGCACTCCCAGTAGAAGAAGCAAAGCGCTTTAAAGCGAAAACACACATATGTATGTATGTATGTATTTCGTTCCACGTGTTTAAAATCGTAAACAAGAGAGTAAATCGATTATGAGGCTGATACTAAGAAATATAGAAAAAATTTGTGGATTAATGGGATTTTGATTCTATAAGTTTATGAGCTTTTATTGAAGGCCTTTTGCGAATTGAATAATTTGCTACACAACAAAGAATAATTTGGTAGAAATTACAACTTTTTCGGAGATCACCACATCTACTCGTCAGACTTCTTCGGGCAGGGACCGAGCCAATGGATCCTGACCTAATAGGCGAGTGTTCTACCATTGATCCAGCTAAACTTTTGTAATAAGGTGTGTATTTTGACATTCAAAGAAACTTTTCACTTCAAAGATCGAGTGCCTTCTGATTGAAAGTGAACGTTGCGCAGATTAGCACCTTCGAATTCCGGCCATCAAAAATCACTAATCATCTCGAAAAAGTCAACCATAAACCGCATCAAACAGTCAAAATGAAGAGGCTTTTCAGTAATAAATCTGTGGTTTTTCGCGCTCCAGATGCGACAGTAGCCAGCGAGATGGAAATGCGCCCAACAGTCAAGATGATTTTTCGATGAAATTTTTATAATGAATTTTAATCATTTCAATATATTGCTAACGCGTGTATCGTTCCATTTTTATTATTGGCTTGGTTTTTATTTGTCAAATGTCAAAAAATTGCAGCTTCAAACTTGACATCTACCGGATATTTATTCGAAATAACACTGCTTATTTGAAAACCTCATTTTTATAAAAAAAAAAAAGTGTAAATACCGTTTAAATTGAGCCGATAATTTTACTTTTATAAAATCTTTACAAAAAGAAAACAAAAATGTTTTAAAATTGTTCGTAGAGTCACTATTTTTAGTTTTGGCATGAAATTCAAGGGTAGATATGACTATTTCTATAAATTATGACGCACTGCTGATTGTGTGAATGATAAGAGCTGGCAGGTATTTGCACGTTACTTATATTTACACTCATAAATGCAAACTCACGTAGTAATTTTGTATATATACCCTGCAGGGAAAATACTAGTTGTTGACTAGAGTCCAACTAATTGCCATTTTTACGCCAACTAGTTCATTTTCCATATATTTTTTTCATAAAAGCAACTGGTATTTGGTAAACGGCGATATTCTACGAACTGTCAATTATCAGTCTATGCATCAGTTTCATAAAAGTTTATATATACTGGTTAAAATTCTGGTTCTTGCATACCAGTTGAGAACTAGTTCAGTAAGTCAAAAACCAGGTAAATCTACGAAATCATTATTTGCAATTTTAAATAATGGGTGTTGGGTTCGTAAAGGTTTGTTCATTATTCTTATCTTTCTTAAGCCAAAAATCAATTAGAGAGTTTATTTTGTATATTGTATATTTATGTATTTATTTAAATATAATTTTTTTTTAATATTCATTATGTTTTACTTTTTCATTAGAACTTGAATTTATTTTAATTATTTTGTGCCAGAATTGTTCATCAGTTTTTACAGTTTTACAGCATTTTTGGTTTTAGTGTGCAAACTGGTATGACCTTTTTGGGAAATACTAGTTCATATACAAGAATTTTTGCTAATTTTTCAGCGAAAAATACTATGTCTAGTCTATGACAAACTAGTATATTTTTAATATTAGTAAATACTAGTATAGCTCGGGGTTTAATTAACTAGTACTTAACTAGAATTTTTGCATACTAATCTACCTTTTCTCTGCAAGGTTCATACTTATATACTCATATGAATGAATGTAAATTTAAACTGCATAAAAATTGTCTGGAAAATATGTAGTTAATATATTAACAATAAGGCATTGATTCAATTGAGAATTGGCTTTAAATTCATTTACTAATGATAAATAAACTCATTACTGGCATAAATTATATCATTGCGGAGTGATGGTTTTCTTCCTTTTTTCTATTTATTTAATTTCCAATAGAAAAGATACTTTATATTGACTGAAACTAAACTACTTTTTATCGTCAAAGTTATTCAAACATTTTATGTATGTTTATCGGATGACATCACCACTTTTTATCAACTCGTATGTTGATTGTATTTATATATGCATATATATATATATATATATACTCTTATGAAGTAAAAAGACCAACGATAAGAACATAGCTTCACAATTACACTTTTACATATGTCGATACATATATAAGTATTTATATATATTCTTAGATTTATACAAGTTTTTATTGAAGCGATTGTTTGGTTGAAAGCTGAGGTTGAGAGCCTAACCGCAAGCGTCTACCACGAAGTATTTTTTAGTAGCCTTAACGCCTTATGGCTTCTTTGCTTATTAATACTTATATTTTTTTTCTTTATGTGCGCCATGTACTTACTTGAACATACACATATGTAATTGAAAAATCGGTTATTCATTCCTCTACAAAGTAAATTTATCTTCAAAAACAACCCAAAAAAACTTTTATTTTAACTGTATTATTAATAGCCCATGCACACTTTTAAATAATATTTTTTCATTTTTTTTGCTTTTCAATTTTATTGTAATCAAAGCAAATTCTTCACCGCCAAAGTACAATAAAACGTTATGAATTGTGTTTGCCGATTTCTATTAGATCCATCATTGGCATCATTCACTAATTGTTTTCAATTAATGGACACAGACAAATGAAGGAACAACAATAACATATTTGAATCTGAAGCACAGATAACGAATGAAAAATAGCGCCAAATGAAATGAGGATGTTTGCCATATCGAATTGAGGATATCTTACATTTTAGTTGAAGCAATAAAAAATTTGTCTCAAAAAATTCAATTTATTAGATTCTTGAATATCACAAATTTCTTACTAGAACTACTTTGACGAATGCAACGTTAGCCACCTCCTATCCAACCTACCAAGGGACACATCTGAAGATTACGACGGAATTGCAACAGACTCTTATTCTTAACACGAGGCAGACCCCGAAAAGTTGTGGTTAAACTTGTCTCATGCACATAACAGCAAAATATTTCCTAATCACAGCTATAAACTAAATTGGAATTTTAAGCAGTGAGGCGCAAAGATATTACTTATTGGCATAAAGCCTCAGTAAATATTTCTTGATAAGTCGTATGCAATCACCCTGCAGGGAAATTCTAGGAGAAGGAAATTCTAGTTAAATACTAGTATTTTGAAGACGAAGTCATACTGTTTTGTTGCATGTTGTAAGCGAGAATTATACCAGTTTTTAAGGAACAAAAATATACTAGTTCGCCGTAGACTAAAATTATACCAGTAATTGTTCGGTAAAATCTGGACTAGTTTACAAAAATTCTAGTAATTACCGGCAAATTGATACAAATTGATAATTGTCGTTGTGCAAAAAAAAAAAAGCAGCGCTATACCTTGTACAATTGTAAAAAATATTAACCGCTCAAATTAAGCTTCAAATAAAGATGTGTAGATATCGGATAAACTTCCTGGAAAGAAATAGCGTAGAAAATTTCAAGTGAAATTCAAAGTAAAGTAAGTGTATTTTCTTCAAATAAGTTGGTTTCGAGTCAACCTCCCGCGAAAGGAGGTCTACACCATTCTCAAATGCACCTGAACACACACAAAAAATTTAATTAAAATCGATTCAACCGTTTGGAATGTCTAGTTCAACTGGTATGAAACATCCAGCATTTTAACTGGTATATATGAACTGGTATAAAGCTGATGAAAAGACTGACAATTGACACTTCGTGTTGAAAATATCAGTTGTTTAGATAAAAGATGAACTAGTTGATGTAAAAATGCAAATTAGTTGGATCCTAGTTAACAACTAGTATTTTCCCTACAGGGTTGTTCATTTAAAAGTTTGTTCTGCATGCAGAAATTTTGGTATATATATAATCTGAAAAGAATGCTAAAGCTAAGTAGAAATGCTTTACTGATATTACCGTTCAAAATAGAAGTTGAAAATAGTAGCTCAAGTACCATTTTAACACCGTTGATTGAGATAAGAGAAGTGACTAGAGTCCCCTTAAAACATCGTTTGATGAGAGATGATTGTAAGGAGTATATTTCCTAGGACTCCC